TGATTTCTATAGTGCCTTGCCTACATAGCATTTTTTGAAGAAAGAAAACCCAAGAGAAATCTATTGCTTACAAAAGTTTTCTTCTTTTTTTTTAAACAAAGAGAATAACTTTATCTTGACAATTTTAAATCCTGGGAGAAACAGTTCAGAGAAGAATTCAGTATTAAAAACATGTTCTGAAGCACTGTTACCCTTCTCTCCCAGAGACTAACATGTGAAAGGGTCATCTATTTGGTCTGAAACACATTTTATGTTCACTTAACTTACTAAGTACTCCGTGTGTTCATTAGGACTCATTTTGAAGATGCAACAGAACCCTTGTCTTATTCAAGCACTGCCTACCATAATAGTTGAGTTTTGACCTCAAATAAAGTCTAAGTAATTTATATCACTGCTCAATAATAATTTTGGACATTCTGGCCCAAGGTTCGAGCAAGTGGTATCGCTAAATTTGAAGGATCCAATGGGCTTGGTCTGACTGCTGCTTTGTCATACCTCGTCTGTTTTTAGGGAGAGAGAGAAAGAATAGGGAATGCAGTAAGGGAGAGGTGAGAAAAGCAGAGAGATTGAGTAGGTAGGCAAGTGCTGCTATGAACAACTGTTCCTTAACCAAACCATATACTGTTAAAATTTCCATCATTTTAAAGTACATTATCTTAACATTGAAAAGGAAAAAAAAAAGTTGAGAAAATGTATCTAATTTTTAAAGTGGAATATGTTGGAATCATTTGGCTTTTTGTAAAATATAAATAATGAAGACACCGACTTTTTTGTGCTTGTGAAGCTAATAGATCATCTCCACGAGACAGGCAGCAATGATGAATTGCAATACGTTATTACTGAAGGGAAAAGGTTCAAGCCAATATTCACACTGCAGTCAATGAAAGAGTAAGGGGGCCAAAGCAGTGAGCTTCTGGAGAAAAGTTAAAGATGCCATGGGGGATTAGCAGGAGCAGCCTCCTTCACTGACTGGTTGCTCCTGAGGCTTTTCCAGTTTTATGTCAATCACTGAAACAAAAGTTAAGGAGCTATAAATGGGAAAGTACAATTCCAATTCTGCCGAACACTGACATCTCTTGCAAGCCCTTTCAATTCCTATTGGTTTCAGAGTGGATACAACCATTATTTCCTATACAGCTAGTTCACTGTACGAGGTGCTCAAATGAAATAAACTCACCTATATCTACTATATGCAACAAGGGTGAGAATAAGGTTAAGCCCTATTCATGGGAATCTCTTCTAAGGAAATTACAGGAGCAAGAAACCAGATGAAAGATGATGCTCCTTACAGAATTATCTATAATAAAAATCTGAAAATAGCCTACAAAAAGAGTTCTAACAAAGGAAGAGAATTTAATAGATGATGGGACTTCAACTCTGTAGAACATATTATCCTATTAAAAGTAATAAAGGCTTAGAAAACATAAAACATTTAGCAGTGGGAAAAGCTGAACACAAAGTGCTATGAATTCTATGGCTTAATAAAAATGTATACGGAAAAACACTAAAGGTAAATATAAAACAATTAAAATATTAAAATTAAAAATCCTTTAAAATAACTATTATTAGATGTGCTTCATTATGTCCTGTTTCTGAAAGCAGAGGCCACAATAAAACTCCAGACTGAGTTATTTCCTGCCTGTGCCAAGCAGAAAGCTTGAATGTTAGAAAAAGCAAGGGAGGAAAATATGATATATATTGTAGGGAAAAAGCCTAGAGCCAACAGGACTCAAAATTAAAAGGCAGAAGGCTTGGATTCTAAGTTTCCTGTTCATTAAATATCAAGCAAGTAGGGGTGCCTGGGTGGCTCAGTTGTTTAAGCGACTGCCTTCGGCTCAGGTCATGATCCCAGGGTCCTAGGATCGAGCCCCACCATTGGGCTCCCTGCTCAAAAGGGGGCCTGTTTCTCGCTCTCCCTCTGCCGCTCCCGCTGCTTGTGCTCTCCTGCTCTCTCTGCCAAATAAATAAATAAATAAATAAAATCTTAAAAAAAAAAATCAAGCAAGTAAACAAACACAAACCTTCTCATTGATTAACTGTTGTGAGCACCAGGCCACAAAGGGTACACGTGAACTACCAGATCTCTTTGCCATAGAAAACCTTGGAGCTTCTATGCTCCTAAGCCATTAATTCCTGGCTGTAAAAGGCAATAGCATAATCCTTAGCCAACCAAGTGGAGCTCTAAAGACTAGTTAACAATAAAATTTTCTGATGAAACAAAAAGGATACTGTCTTCTCTGCTTCTGTCCTGTGTGCTTTCCATTCCAGGCAAAGCCGCTGCAACACGTCGAAAGAGCTGTGGAGAAAAGAAATGTGATAATTGGAAGGGAAAATTTAGCAAATGGTATCAAGTGAAAGTGGATGACTACTAGATGGTAAGTTAAAAGATATGGCTTCTGGATTATTTCTCACTTAGACCTTAGCATAATGAAAGCATACTAAAATGTCTATTTATTTTATAAGTACTATATGCTGTATGCCATCTACAAAGAGGTATAAAGATATGATCCTTACTTTCTAACTGGTGAGATCAGACATGAACAAACAGCTAAGAAATAAGCAGCAAAAATGTGATCTGAGTCATAAAAACCTACTATAACAATTCAGAGTAAGGACAGAAGATTGCTCATTTAGGAAAACCGTATAAAGTGGCATTCCTATCTTTCATAAACAGTTTCTGAAGTCAGTAATATATAGTAAAAGTCAGTCTAGTCAAAATTACCCTGGGTAATTCCTTAGGAAATCACTGTTAGAGACCAACACACCACCTCTCAAATCCAATGCACATGGCTTTTCCTCCATCAATAGAAAAAGTACCAGTGGAAGTAGTTGGCTTGTGTCTGAGGTATGACTTATGAAAAGTTTCTTTAAACGGAGATTCACACTCAAGGACGAGATGGTCACTTTGAGAGGCATGTGGGAACAGAAACTGACCGAAGGAACAACAGACGCATAGCCCCTATTATGTGTCCAGAACTAGGCATATACTCACTGGGTAGAATGGCAGGTGAAATTGGCTGATTATTTCAATCATTTCTCTTTTTGGCATGCAGTATAAAATTCCTAGAAGTTAAATGCATGTGTGATATAACTCCCTTGTACTAAATACCTGCTTGTTTGAGTCACTGTCTCAGGTTCTCTAGGGACAGAGAAATGAACAAGATGTAGCTTTTTAATTCAAGGGAGCTTGCAGTCTGGTAAGGGAGACAGATGCAAACAATTCATTATGTTACAGTGTGATAACTGCCATAAACCAAGGAAATACAAAATGATATGAGAACACAGATACAAGAAGGCCCTTCTCAGGACACTGGGAAAAATTATTTAGGTGATGACATTTCAGCTGGGATTTAAAGGCAGTTTAAAAATTTCACTTGGCTGAAAAACATATTATGCAAAAGTGCTCGGAACTTAAGTGCTTCACAAACGTTGCTGAGGTAAAATGAGAAGGAACAGAAACAATAGAAGATCTATTGATGAAAATTAGAACACTACATAATCTGTTTAGGGAAAGGAATATAGAAAAGGAGCAAATTTTTATCTGTAGGCAGTAGCCTGGTGGGGTAGGATTAGGGAAGATTTGAGAAAAAGTTTAATTGTTTTGGTTCTATAAGGTTTAGTAGCATTTTAGAGATGTATCAAAGTTAGTCATTTGCTTCAATATTCTTTTCCCTTGTCCTTGAAACTACTGAAATCAGAAATGTGCTGACTATACATTATGGCTAGATGCCTAAGTGTTAAAATTACTAAAGCCAAGATTGAATATCACTATTATAGAATGAATTTCTGGGATGCACAGTGCCCATTTGTATCCCATCTGGGACACAGTGCCACATTTGTCACTACTAGACAATCAAATGCCCAAACCACGTTCAGAGAAAAGCACAAGGTATAGTCAGTTTAGGTAGTCCAGACTGGCTAGAGTACAAAATATGTAAAAGGATTAGAAAGAAGTCTATATATTAAAGGCCAGATTAAGAAAGGCCTGGAAAGGAGACAAATTTGTCCTATGGGCAAAGGAAGGCATTAAAAACAAGTTTGCATTAGGACTTTTATCGGTGATTCTAATTGTTTTACTATGGTTACAAAGATCTACAAATCACATATTGAAAGTGCTTTAAATATAGGGCAGAATGGCAAAAACCTAAAAACTAAAAGGTGAAGTGTGAAGTTTATATTCTGGGCAGGCCACTTAGGTGACAGGTCATCTTTCTGTTTCTCAGTTTTCTCATCTGTAAAATGGGCTTACAATAATAGTATACTTAACTGACTAGATTATTGTGAAAATTAAGGGAGATCATGAGTAAACTGCTTAGAACCAATCTGTTATACAGAAAGTCTGTAATAAACAGTAGCTCTATTTCTACTAAAGATTAGTCATAATAACTCATGGTCCTGTGGGCTAGGGGAAAAGAAAATTTTTCCAAATGTTATGAAATGGAGTGAATTATAGGACTATAACAAGATGCCAATAGGTGTAACATTCTGCTTTAAGAAGCTATTTAAAACTGTTGGGAAAGGTGTGGGGGTTGGGAAAAACCTTCTGAAAATATTAGGGCAGAACTGAAATGTTCTTAAAAATATCTAGAAATCTTCCCCCAAGATCTCATAGTTTGCTTCTGACATTAAATATTTATTAAACTGTTTAAAAATGCACCATCTTCAGCTCTTAAGGATATCAAAGTTTATTATAGGCTAGCTTAAAAATGGAGGCATTGGGAAGGTTTGTTTACTTTCTGTGAAAATGGAATAAAATGGTTTACAAGTTTTGATGCTTTAAAAAAAGTACATAAAGAGGTCTTTCAGAGATGGTATTGTTATATTTTTACCTACCTATTCTCATAATATAACACAGTATTTAATGTGTTTCTAGAAAGAATATAAAATTCTAATCAAGAAACTGTAGTACTAACTACCCCATTATTATAGCTTTGCTTTGTAACCTCAAGGATATTTATTTCCCTAATCTTTAGATTCTTCTTAATAAAAGGGGGGCTATAGTTGTGAAGTTCAACTTATTTTTACCTTTGAAAGTAATCAGAAAGAAATATTTTAGGGATGTTTCCTTGAATGGTTATGTGTAAAGTCCTTCCCTCTATACCAGTGGTTCTCAATACCTACCATGCATCAGCATTACCCAGGAAACTAAAAGCAAACAATACCAGATACTTGGGTCCCACGTGCAAAGATAGATTTAACGAACATGGGGTGGGGCGGGGCCCTTAGTGTTTCATGAAAAGATCTCTGGATGATTCTAATGTGCAGCCATGGTCAAAGACCTATGCTGTAACACTAATTTAAAGTAATCAAAAAGTAGGGCGCCTGGGTGGCTCAGTTGGTTAAGCGACTGCCTTCAGCTCAGGTCATGATCCTGGAGTCCCGGGATCGAGTCCCGCATCGGGCTCCCTGCTCGGCGGGGAGTCTGCTTCTCCCTCTGACCCTCCTCCCTCTCATGCTGTCTCTCATTCTCTCTCTCTCAAATAAATAAATAAATAAATCTTTAAAGTAATCAAAAAGCTAATACTGAGTGCTTACTTTGTCAGAATCTTCACGTTTTCTCATTTTAATCCTCACAGTAACTTGTGAGGAAGATATTAATACCCTCATTTTATAGAAATCTAAGGCTAAAAAGAATATGTACCATATACCAAATAAATAGCAGAACTGAGATTTCAAAGTTCATATTTTTTTCTACTACCTTATACTGCTTAGTATAAATGGAAGTTTTTTCTAGATGGAAAAGCACTGCGGAAAGGCCTGTGTGAAGAAACAGCTAACAATCCTGGGTAAGAGGAATTTGCTTTGTGAAATACTATTACACACACACAAATCACAGACATAAAAACTTAATCCATTTTCTTAGGACTTAAACATTTTATCTATAGCTTTAAGCAGTATATTTGAAAAACTTGGTGTTCCCTCAAAATATTTCAATTAGAGTAAAGGAATCAACGCCACTAACCGAAACTCAACCCAGGACACCCTAAAATGAGCCAAGTAAAAGTTTTACAAAAAGTAAAGTTCTATCCTTACAGAAATATATGTAAGACAGGAAGGAAAAGACCCTAGGGGATTAAGTTGTTTTAAATAATCATTAGAGGAAAATCCATTTCTTAAATACCAATGATACACTAACAGAGGCTTCTGCTTTATTAGGAACACAGATGACTAAGATGGGGCTTCCCTTGATCATCCTATCTATATGTAATCTTACTCATTTCTTCAATAAATATACCTCCTTGTGACAGCACTGATTTTACATCCCAATTTCTGTGGATCTTACTGTCTCTGTAGTATTGGCTAAGCATTTATCATGTATTACCTACCCTTTACTACATGATTTTCATGAGAATGTGACTCTTCTCAACTATAGCATAAGCTTTTTAGAAATTAACAATCATATTTTACATAACTTTAAATTCTCCAAAGAAACCACAATGGTCTTACAGACTGTAGGTAATTGATACTTGTGAATTAAGGAACATGATAAAAGTATAAGATGAAGAACTGTTATGAGCCAAGAACTATGGCAGACATGGGATATAATGGTGTAGAAAAGTCACTATCCCTACCAATGCTTAAAGTACATATGCTTCTCAGCAGGTATAACATAATTTACACACACATGTGCATGTGTGCACAACCCCACTGTATGTATGTAAGCTTTCATTGATCTGTTAGTACTGATGTACATCAGCTATCACTAATTTTCTTTCAAACAAATCTTTGTCTTCTGACAAGCACTGATGATTTTAGAAGTTAAAGATCAAGAAGTGTTTCTCTTCTTTTCCCATTTGCCAGTACTGTAAAATTAGAGAATATAATAAGAAAGGTGACATCCACACACTTAATACTTCACTAAAAGAGTGTATTAATTCTCAGATGAAAAGTCAGATGAAGCCTTAACTAATTACCTTCTCATTACCATTTCCCTCAGCAATTTAAGCACCATACCACTTTCACAAAAGAAAGCAATATTACTGCATTTTAAAAAACAGAAAAATAAGGGTTAAAATATTTACCACAGGCTATCTGTTTTTTGTGTGTGTATGTGTGTGTGTGTTTTAAGATTTATCCATTTTAGAGAGAGAGAGAACAGGGCGAAGGGCAGAGAAAGGAGGAGAGAATCCTCAAGCAGATTCCCTGCTGAGTGCAGAGCCCAATATGGGGACTGATTTCAGGACACTGAGATCATGACCTGGGCTGAAATCAAGGGTTGGATGCTTAACTGACTCATCCACCAAGGTGCCCACATAGGCTACTTTGCTATGAAATATTGAATGGAATGAAAAATATTACTTAAATATCCTATATAATATAAATGATCATGCTAAGTATTATTACTTATTATAGTTCTAGCCCTGATAGCGTTTTTATTAAAAAAAAAAAAAAAAAAAACTGTAACAATATTTTTTAAGACATGCACCGGGTTTTAGAGTTAAGTGCTTATACAAGATTAAAGAGCAGAGGGGTTAAGCACAGAACATTTTTAAATTTTTTTTTTTTTTTTAAGATTTTATTTATTTGCGAGAGAGAGAATGAGAGACAGAGAGCATGAGAGGGAGAAGGGTCAGAGGGAGAAGCAGACTCCCTGCCGAGCAGGGAGCCCGATGTGGGACTCGATCCCGGGACTCCAGGATCAGGACCTGAGCCGAAGGCAGTCGCCCAACCAACTGAGCCACCCAGGCGCCCCAGAACATTTTTAAATAAGAAAAAATAGCAGTACTGGTCAGGAATAAATTTGTTTTATTTTAAGCCAAAATTTTTAGGCATTAAGGCCCAATCACTTGAACCATAGTCAGACATTAATGATGCATAATTAATGAACTCTCCTAGAATTGTTTAAAAAGTACATAGGGCAATACAGAAAGTCCATTTTCAGCTTTTATTACGTATATTATAATCCAGTATATAAGGGAGTAGGGAGAAGGAATCCAATTAGCAAATTAGCAGAAAGCTAGAAACATCTATGTGGAAAATACAACTGGAAGGTACCTTTAATACTGATAAACACAGCTATTCAAAAAGACTACCATGTAATTTCCAGTGAAAGCACATGATGATTTTGTCAAATAAAATGAGTACAATGCACAATCATCAAAAGTAATTGTGCTTTGCAAACATATACGGCTGAACAAACATATGCAATGCTTACTTAATAGGCATGTAAGACTGTGATTCCCAATGTTTTCCAAGGCAATGACTGGACTATGAAATTTACCTGGTAAATTTCTGAATACCAACACCATTTCTGAATTGTGACTGACCTACAATAAAAATCTCAGAAGGGGTCTGGATTATTTCTTCATAGTAATTTCTGTTAATATGTGGTACTTATTGAATATATAATTTAAGTCAAAAATCCACTTATTTTAATGCTAGATAAATAACATACAGAACTCAGGAATAAATTGACCTTCCATGTTAGAAAAACCTAAGTATGTACATGCTAAATAGTCTCAGTTGTTACATTTATCAGATATTTTAAATTTTACCCCCATAAATTTTTTTTAAGATTTATTTATTTATTTATTGGGGGGGAGCTCATGCAAACAGAGGGGAGAGGGAGAGAGAATATCCAGCAGACTCCTCACTGAGCAAGGAGCCAGATGCAAGGCTCAATCCCACGACTCTGAGATCATGACCTAAGCCAAAATCAAGAGTCAGTATCAACCAACTGAGCCATCCAGGCGCCCCTACCCCCCTTAAGTTTAATATCACCTCCAGTTTGGGTAATAGCAGACTAACTTGTATAGGACTAACGCTCTTGCAGATGGCAATTATTAACTCTGGACAAACTGTAAAAAACAATTATTTGAAGGCTCTCAAGAGCAACACAAAGCAGATACAAATTAGGGAGAATTCAACACTGGGAAGCAACACAAAGCAGATACAAACTAGGGAGAATTCAACACTGGGAAGAAGGGAACCCGCACTCACTGGGTGAGATCCATGTTTATACAGGTGTTCCCAAGAGCCATTCCTAGCCTGTGCAATATGATGTGGCCAGAACTCATGCAGAAAACTCAAGTTTTAAAGTTTTGCAGTGTCAGTGGTAGTGTGGCTGGACTGAGGAAGGAAATAACTAAGGAGGAAGCCAAGAGGAGGGACCCTAAATTCTACACATAAATTTCCTGCAAATCTCAACTGACTCTTGAATGGTACATATATAGGAGAGACTGCAAGAAGCCCATCTGAAAAGAACAGCTAGAAGGCTGGAAGAAATGAGCAGAGATTTCAGTTACTCCCTGCTCCAGGGATACACTTTAGAGTCTGAATCCCACCAAGACAGAAAAGCTTGATAAATACCTCAGGCTTCCTACAGATCCACCCACACAAAACATAACATCAAGACTCCACAAGTTCAAGGTGATCAGCCAGCAATATAACAACCTGCCATAATAAAATTCAGCATTTTGCAGAGAAAAATAACAGAAATCAGAGTCGCTATATATTATATACAACGATAAGCATACAACCAAAGATGGCTAGACACATGAAGAAACAGGAAAATTTAACCTAGAGGCAAGAGAAAAATAGCCAATAGAAACAGACTCAGAGATGACTCAGATGTTGGATTAGCAGACAACAATTTCAAGGCAACTATTACAGATATGTTCAAGACTTGAAGGTAACAATGCCACAATGATCAGATGGGGTACTCCAACAGAGAAATGGAAACTTAAATGGAAACATCTAGGACTGAGTACAATATCTGAAATGATAATTCACTGGATGGACTTAATAGCAGTTTGGATATAGGAGAAAAAGGACTGGTGAACCTGAAGACACATCAATAATATTATCCAATCTTAAAAAAAGAGTACAAAAAGGATAAAAAAACAAGAGGCGCTTCAGTTACCATGGGAAATATCAAGCCATTTAACAGATGTGCCACTGGAATTCCAGAAGAAGAGTTAAGAAGAAAATGAGGGAGGAAAAATACTTTAATATAACACATTACATATAGAGAACATACAAATTAGAGCTCACTACTCATTAGAAACAATGGAAGCCAGAAGACAATGAAATTGCATCTTTACAGTATTGGAAGAAAAATATCTGTGAACCCCAAATTCAATAACTAACAAAAACGTTCTTCAAAAATTTTTCTTCAAATGGTCTTTTGGGCTATGTGAAAGCCAGGCAAATTCATCACTAGGAGATGTCAATAAGAAACAATAAAGAAAGTTATTTAGGCTAAAGGGAAATAATACCAGATGAAACTCATATCTGTAAGAAGAAATGAAGAGCAACGGAAATGGTAAATATATGAGTAAACAGAAAAAGCTGTCCTTTTTCTTAATTACTGTTTAAAGCAAAAATTAGGGATGCCTGGGTGGCTCAGTCGTTGGGCGTCTGCCTTCAGCTCGGGTCGTGATCCTGGGGTCCTGGGATTGAGCCCTGCATCGGGCTCCCTGCTTGGTGGGAGGACTGCTTCTCCCTCTCCCACTCCCCCTGCTTGTGTTCCCTCTCTCGCTGTGTCTCTGTTGCTGTGTCTCTCTCTGTCAAATAAATAAATAAAATCTTAAAAAAAAAAAAATTTAAAACATTACGGGATTCATAATGTATGTAAATATCAAATATGTGACAACAATAACACAAAGCAAAAGTGCACAGGTACAAAGGATGAAATGGTATATTAACTCTAGTTCAATCCCTCGAGCAACCACTAAAAAAGTTATGAGGTTTAGCTAAAAAGAGTTCAAAAAATAATATAAAAATATTTGCTTAAACTAAAAATGACAGACAAGCAGATAACAAAGAGCAAATGACAGACATGAACCCAACTACATCAATAATTACATTAAATATAAATAAACCAAACACTCCAATTAAAAAGCAGAGATTTTCAGACTGGATTTTAAAAAACAGTGAGATCCAACTAGATGCCATCTAACAGTGACCTACTTTACAAGGAAAAAGATATACCAAGCAATAAGTAATAAGAGAATTGGTGTGGCTATATTAAGATCAGATAAAGACTTGGAAACAAGGAGTATTATCAGAGATAAAAAGGAACTTTTCTTAACACACACAAAAAAAACCCCAAAACAAACAAAAAACCCCACAATGCATTAGGAAGACAATAACAATCCTAAATATCTATGCGCTCAATAACAGAATTTCCAAACACATGAAGTAAAGCTGACAGAACTAAATGGCAAAACAGGCAAATACAAATGTTGTAGATTTTAATACCTCCCTTCTCAGTAACTGATAGAACTACAGACAAAAAATTAGTAAGACTATTTAAGATATGAACAATGCTATCAACTATCTTGATATAACTGATATTTATAAAACACTATACCTGACAACTATACAAAAACATTGTCTTCCAGTGGAACATTCACCAACACAGGCCATATGCTAGGCCATAACACAAATCTCAATAAATTATGAATGACTAAAATGTTACAAAGTATAGTCTCTGACCACAACAGAATTAAATTGGAAGCTGTAACAGTAAGAGATCTAGAAATGTCCCAACTATTTGGAAATCAAATAACATATTTCTATATCTTCACTGATGTAGTCATTACATCTACATAAACGTTTATCAAAATTCACCTAAACGTAAACTTAAGATGTGTACATTTCACTGTACATAAATATTTACCTCAATAAAATAATGGGGAAAAAGTTCAATGTTAGCTGAATTCAAAGAAACTCAAGAAGTAGGAGTATCTATGTCTAAATTGCAGTGAAAATACTGAAGTATAATTCCTCATGTAACCTAGATTCTCTAAGCTTGTTCAGTCTGTCTTGGAAAATTCTTAAGATAGTCAACCTCATTAAATAGATTTTTTTCTTACGGCATAACATGGTAGCTCTAAGTTTCTGCTCAAAAGATACAGCATATTATTCTTTTTTTTAATTAAAGATTTTATTTATTTATTTGACAGAGACATAGCAAGAGAGGGAACACGAACAGGGGGAGTGGGAGTGGGAGAGGGAGAAACAGGTTCCCGCAGAGCAGGGAGCCCGATGTGGGGCTCGATCCCAGGACCCTGGGATCATGACCTGAGCCAAAGGCAGACGCTTAACGACTGAGCCAACCAGGAGCCCCCCAAAATACAGCATATTATTCTTCCATTCAACAAACATTTATTGAGTTCAGTATGGTAGGAGGCAGAAGTAACAAAAAACTTCTATATTAAAAGAAAGAAGGAGTGCTACATCAATAATTAGGAAAGGCACTTGATCTAATTTGATTATGTCTGAACTGAGTTTTTAATTACAAATATCAGAGAAGAAACTATTTTGGAAGAGGGACAGTAACATACAATGGAAATATGGAAACACAGTAAACCTGGGGGACTTTAAGCAGTGTAGTACAGGTATACAGTGGCCAAAGATCAAGATTTTGAGCAGGAGGGCATAGCATACTAAGGGCTTTGTTTAAAATTCAGGATAAAATTCATAAGTAACCTGATTAAATCTGCATTTTAAAACAATCACTAATAGCAAGATGGAGGATAATCTAAAGTGGGGCAAGATTTAAGGCAGATTATCGGTTAATAAACTATGATAGCAGGCAAGGCAATAGACAACAAGGGCCTAATAGAGCAGAATCAACAAGAGTAGGTATCTTAAAAAAAAAAAAAAAAAAGATTTTATTTATTTGTTTCAGAGAGAGAGAGAGCACAAGCAGGGGGAGCAGCAGAGGGAGAGGGAGAGGGAGAAGACCTCCTGCTGAGCAGGGAGCCCGACCCAGGGCTCACTCCCAAGACCCCAGGATCATGACAGGAGCCAAAGGAAGATGCCCAACCGACTGAACGACCAGGCGCGCCCTGTGAAGACACATATTGGCGCCAGAATACATAATATTTAATTCCTCATGTACGGATTTGGCTTCTACATAAGACTGAGCCTCTTAAATGTAGGAAGTCTGTCTTTTGTATCTAGCAGGGATTAGAGAATTAATAGTTGTCTGAACAATTATCAAACTGAATAGATTTGACATACTTGCTCAATTATCTCCATGGCTTAATAGGTCTTTTTACATAGTATAGCTTGTATGAAAAATCCCCTGAGATTCTTGCTAAAAATGTAGATTTTTAGGGTACTACCCTAGACTTAATGAATCAGTATCCAGAAGTTGTGCCCCAGGAACCTGTTATTTTATGTAAGCTTCTAGGTGACTATTATGCACATTAAAGTTTAAAATCATTAAGCAATTCTCTAATCCAAAGAGATTTTCCTGGGGACAATCTGCCATTCTAAAAACCTCTGTCAGGGCGCCTGGGTGGCTCAGTCGTTAAGCGTCTGCCTTCGGCTCAGGTCATGTCCCAGGGTCCTGGGATCAAGTCCCACATCGGGCTCCCTGCTCTGCGGGAAGCCTGCTTCTCCCTCTCCCACTCCCCTTGCTTGTGTTCCTGCTCTCGCTATGTCTCTCTCTGTCAAAAAAATAAAATAAAATCTTTAAAAAAAATAAAAAATAAAAACCTCTGCCCTTTCTTACCTTTGTTTGGATATCAGGTACTCTATTCTCTACCAAAGAAAGGATGGAGGAAAAATACATTCCTAATCTCAACAGTAAGTAAGCTGTATGGGTTTCAAAAATATCTGTCTTAGAAAAAACTACTGTCTGGGGCGCCTGGGTGGCTCAGTCGTTAAGCGTCTGCCTTCGGCTCAGGTCATGATCCCAGGGTCCTGGGATCGAGTCCCACATCGGGCTCTCTCTGCTCAGCGGGAAGCCTGCTTCTCCCTCTCCCACTCCCCCTGCTTGTGTTCCCTCTCTCGCTGTGTCTCTGTCAAATAAATCAATAAAATCTTTAAAAAAAGAAAAAACTACTGTCACCAATTTTCCCCCCTACTGACAAAGTTTCCAATGGCATGATAAACATTAGATTTGCAAAGTAAGCACTGAACGCAAACGACACAAGCTGCGTTGTCCAGAGTCAGGAATTGGACAGTGGTTATATTTGGTAGATTTGATTTAGATTTCATTTAGGAAAATTTGAATTTTTCCATATACCTAATATATCAAGTGATATCAAAGGGAATAGTTTCTTTCTTTCTTTTTTTTAATCCCTTAACGCTGGGGTGATTTGTAGTGCAACTAAAAGAAAAAATCTTTTCTTAACATTTCTAGTCATTTAAATAATTAATTTTTAAAATAATACCCTATTTGATTAGTTTTTGAACTCCTTTATAAAAACAAATTCAAGGAATAGACAATCCATAAAAAGTAGTGTGATGTATTTCTTAGCTAATATTTAAAATCAGTCAGTAAGTTTCCCACATGATAGAAATGTATTCCATTCCAGATTGATCACTGACAAAGGAGGAAGATTTTAACCTATTATTTAAATGTGTTTATTAACAGGGGCGCCTGGGTGGCTCAGTCGTTAAGCGTCTGCCTTCGGCTCAGGTCATGATCCCAGGGTCCTGGGATCGAGCCCCGCATCGGGCTCCCTGCTCGGCGGGAAGCCTGCTTCTCCCTCTCCCACTCCCCTGCCTGTGTTCCCTCTCTCGCTGTGTCTCTCTCTGTCAAATAAATAAATAAAATCTTTAAAAATAAATAAATAAATAAATGTGTTTATTAACATAAGATTTAAATTCTTTTTCTGGTTTCATTCTCTCAATTGATAGGGGGGAGAGGGAGTGTTTCCAAGATTTTTTTTTTTTTAAGAGAGTGAGAGAGCATGAGCAAGGGGGAGGGGCAGAGGGAGAAGGAGAAAGAGACTCCCTGCTCAGCAGGGAGCCCGATGTGGGACTCGAACCCAGGACCCTGGCATCATGACCATCTGCCATCAAGCTGAAGGCAGATGCTTAACCGACTGAACCACCCAGTGCCCTTAGGATTTTTGTCTTAACTAAATTATGTAAGATGACAAAGCAAAGGTCTATAAATATTGAAATAAAATTCTAATATACTATGGTACTTCCTACAAAATACAAAGTAATGGTTTTTGTGAGTTAAGAAAGAAGCTACAAAAAATTTAAAAGGCAGCTCTCTTCCAAAATTTGAAAACAGTAATTTTGATCATATTTATATTTAAAAGATAATAAAATCAAGTCCCAACAGAATCAGGAACTTTAGCAAAATCACATGTTCAGACATATCATCTAAATAAAGAAAAATAATAAAATAGCAAATAGGTTTTGAATTCAGGGTAAGACTGTTTAGTAAAAGAATTCTCTCTTCATTATCACTGACTAGCTGTATCTGTCTGTATGCGTCAGGCTTTTAGAAAAAATTATGTGCCTAGTGCTGAAAAGTTCTAAAATCAGATTGTGGTAATGGTTGCACAATGCTTTGAATTCACTTAAAAAACTCCTGAGTTGTACATTTAAAAGAAGTGAATTTTGTGGTATGGAAATTATGCTTCAATAAAGCTGTTAAAAAAATTGTATGTGTTTATAAAATAGCAAATGAATGACCAATCTCATTTTCTCAACATCCTGAGAGTTAACTTAGAAGCAATTAAATATCATGAAGATACTAGCTATCACTAGTGACCACTGTATGCTGATGATTTGAGACTTCCGAACCTATGAGACTACTGAGTCAGGCGTAGGGGGCCATAGCAATCCCTTTAGACATTAATCAAGACCAAAAGATGTCTCAGAGAAGGCTATACTTCGACATGTAAGCAACTAGCTCATTCAATCCTTATCAAAATGTCATTATTGGTGAAAGCTAGATAAGCTACCCACTGCTTTGTCCTAGAACAGTGATAAATAATAGTAATTGTGCTAATTTCTATTACTCGTTTTTTAATTGTCTGTGGCTCCTATGAGTTCATTTACTTATCATTTTCTAAATTCCACAGACATTAGTAGGTTCTGGGAATATATAATTTTGATGGGGGAAATATTTCCAACATAATGTGGTAAGTTCCAGGACAGTGGCTTCACAAGGGTCAGGGGTCTGAGAAAACACAGAAAAGTATCATTTATTGCTAAAAAAAAAAAATAGCCTGCAGGTATGGTACAGTAGAGAATGTCAAAAAAATTACTTTGAAGAACTGACATCTAAACTGAAACTTGAAAGGATGAATAGGTATCAGTCAGGAAAGAAGAAATAGCATTCTAAGCAAAGAGAAGAGCAGCAGGAACAAAGACTTAGAGCCATGAAACAGTATACTGCAGGGAGGGAATTAGTGACAGTTCAAAATTACTTACATATATTTCAAGGCAAGGAAATATGGGAAAGAAAGTGAAAACAATATGAAGAATTTTTCATAAAGCTCAACATACTCAGTTTAAACGATTTTATTTTAACTTTCTATTGATCATCTAGAAGTGAAAAAAATATTGGTTTGAAAATCCTATAAATCTGGGACCACTACTCCATATTTTAGAAAGTTTGATAATGTGAGATGTTCCCATATTTTCCTCTTTCCCCAAAACATTCCTGTTATAAACACTGTTAAAACAACAGCAGGTTATTGAGGATAAAGTAACCAGAATATACTTTCACAACTACAAGCAAAATACCATTTCCAACAGCAAATACTTGCTTTCTTTTGTCATTAAACTCTTAAAAAAATATAAAAAATTTTTTTAATTTACGTTAAAACAGTGCAGTAAGGATGCAGTGAGGGTAGGTTAAGTTTACAACCTTGCAATCATAATGAAATAGTTGTCCTGTGCACAATCTGAAGTTTGTCAAGCCTTTTCTCCTTTTCCAAAAACTATGCCACATTTGTATTTTTTCACTGTGTAATATGTTGCTAGATCATGAGGCCTGCTGTTTACCAACTAGAAGAAAATCTTTTTTTTTTTTTTTTTTTTTTTTTTTTTTAAAGATTTTATTTATTTATTTGACAGAGAGAGACACAGTGAGAGAGGGAACACAAGCAGGGGGAGTGGGAGAGGGAGAAGCAGGCTCCCCGCAGAGCAGGGAGCCCGATGTGGTACTCGATCCCAGGACCCCGGGATCATGACCCGAGCCGAAGGCAGTCGCTCAACCGACTGAGCCACCCAGGTGCCCAACTAGAAGAAAATCTTACAGCAGAGAATACTCACACAATTATTTCATAATTATCATTTTTTCAATTGGATAACCTCAACCCATATTCCAAGATCACTTACCTGTTTTACATTGTATCCTGCTTTTGCACTTGTTTCAATAAACATAACATTCAGCTCTTTGGCTTTCCTTTCTCCTTCCTCAATAGATACTTGCCTGTAAAAAAAATTTTTAAGATAAATTCTTCTTTTTGCAAGAATGATATTATAAAGACTACAAACAAGATTCTGAAAAGAACTTTTCTTGACAGGGGTGCTAGGTATACAGGTGAGACTAGTTTGAGAGTTCATCAAGCTGCAGTACATTTAAAATTTGTGCACTTCTGTGTATATGTTATACCTAACTAAACAATTTTTTAAAAAGACATTTTTTAAATGATTTAATGATTTGCTTTTTTACTTGGCTGGGCTCATCCTGTAATTTTTTTTGTTTTTAAAAACTTAATAGCCTACTATTTTCTCTTCATATAAAATCATAAGAATTTAGCCTTATGATTAAAAACTTCATGTAAAATAATTTTTTATGACCAAACTGTTAAAAATATGTTTTTTTCAAATGTTATACTACAGTGGAAAATGCTGCTATAAACATCTTTTTGCACAATATTTTGTGCACTGTGGGTCATTTCTTTAGGATGGATTTTGTGTATTTCTGTAAGTGGAACAAGTAAGTCAAAAGACATGTATGTTGAAGTCTCTTGATATATTTTCTAGGGCATTTGGTGATGCATTATAATTAGCAGTGTGTCTCAAATTGTAATACACTCTTCAAGTGCAAGATAATGTCACTTATCTTGGTATTCCTAGTGCCTAGCTGACACACAGGTGTTTAATAGATATGGAAATATTCTAATTAAATGGATCTAAAATATCAGCTGACAAACCCTGCTTCCTACAACACAGAAAACCAAAGCAATACAAGAGAATTTCCACAAGCTCTCACAGCATCAATCCACTGATCTACATGTGTGTGCCCTTATATTCTACCTCTAGTCCTGCTACTAGAGGAAACTGTCCTTATTCCATTCTCTTATGTAACAATCCAATTGTTAATCTTTTGCTACATCTGTTTGTTTTATCCTCATTCTCTATGTATTTACACGTGTATATACATTTTAAAAAACACATATTTGAGAATAAGTTGACAATTTGCAGACCTTTAGCCCTAAATATGTCAACAGTGTGAATTTCTTTAAAATAATTCTGTCAGGGGGCGCCTGGGTGGCTCAGTCATTAATCATCTGCCTTCGGCCCAGGTCATGATCCCCGGGTCCTGGGATCCAGCCCCACCATCAGGCTCCCTGCTCAGCAGGAAGCCTGCTTCTCCCTCTCCCACTCCCTCTGCTTGTGTTCCCTCTCTTGTGGTATCTCTCTCTGTCAAAATAAATAAATAAAATCTTAAAAAAAAAAATTCTGTCAGATGCCCTAAAATTTACTCCTTGGACCTCTATTTACAATTACTCCCTCGGTGATCCCATGCAGTCTTGTGGTTTTAAGTACCATCTACATGCTGATTATTCCCAAACTTATATATCTAGCCTGGATGACTACTCTGAACTCCAGACTCCAATATCCAATTGCCTACCTGACATCTAATTAGATATTAGGATATCTAATATCAAGTATAATTTATTTGTTCATTTATTTGAGAAGGAGGAAGGGGGTGAGGGAGAGAATCTTAAGCAGGCTACACGCCCAGCTCAGAGCCCGAAGCAGGGCTCCGTCTCACAACCCTGAGATCATGACCTAAACCAAAATCAAGAGTGGATGCTTGGGCGCCTGGGTGGCTCAGTCGTTAAGTGTCTGCCTTCGGCTCAGGTCATGATCCTGGGGTCCTGGGATGGAGTCCCACATCGGGCTCCCTGCTCAGCGGGAAGCCTGCCTCTCCCTCTCCCACTCCCCCTGCTTGTGTTCCTGCTCTAGCTATCTCTCTCTCTGTCAAATAAATAAATAAAATCTTAAAAAAAAAAAAAAAAGAGTGGATGCTTAACCAACTGAGCCACCCAGGCACTCCTAGCAATTCTAAATTTAAAATGACCAAAACTGAAGTCATGATATTCCATCCCAAACCATTCCTTTATGTAGTCTCTTCCTATCTCAGTTAACGACAATTACTCAGGCTAAGAATCTAGGTGTCATTTTGAATCCTCCTTCTCCCACAACTCCATATTCTGTCCATCACTATGTATTCTATCCACTGCATGCGTTTATCTTGACAATTCCATCTTCAAAATACATCTGAACTTGAAGGCGCCTGGGTGGCTCAGTCGTTAAGCATCTACCCTCAGCTCAGGTCATGATCTCAGGGTCCTGGGATCGAGTCCCACATCGGGCTCCCTGCTCAGCGGGAAGCCTGCTTCTCCCTCTCCCACTCCCCCTTGTGTTCCTGATCTCGCTCTCTCTCTCTCTCTCAAATAAATAAATAAAATCTTTAAAAATAAATTTAAAAAATATATATATATCTGAACTTGACCACTGATCACCACACAAGCTGCCACTACCCTGGTCCAAGTCATCATCATTTCTTGCTTGGATTACAGTCTGGATTACCCTCCTCGCTTCTACTCTTATGTATTTTCAACAGAGCAAACATTGATCTATGAAAAGTTACTCTTCTGCTTGAACCCTTCAATCTCATTCAGAGTCTTCATTTTGTCCCACTTGACCTAGCCTTTATCATTTTTTTTTTTTTAAACCTCATCACCTCCTACACTTTTCATCATTCTCTTTACCAGCTATATAGGGCTCCACGCTGTTCTTCAAATAAACTAAGTATATTCCCAACTCAGGGATTTTGCATTTTCTGGGCCAGAAATTTGCATGGGTGACTCCCTTCCTTCCTTAGCATGTGTACTCAAAAGACATCAGTCATCTTCTCAATGAGGTCTTCCATTCCCTTTTTAAAAAAAAAAAAGATTTTATTCATTTATTTGACAGAGACACAGCGAGAGAGGGAACACAAGCAGGGGGAGTGGGAGAGGGAGAAGCGGGCTTCCCGCAGAGAGGGAGCCGGATGTGGGCTCGATCCCAGGACCCTGGGACCATGACCTGAGCCGAAGGCAGACGCTTAACGACTGAGCCACCCAGGCGCCCCTGAAGTCTTCCATTCCTATCCCACCTAATATTTCAAACTCACACTTGACATTTCAAATTTCTTTTTCCTGCTTTATTTTTTACTCTTAGCATGTATCATTATCAAACATACTATGTATTTCTTAAATTATTATTATTACTTTTTTACTTATTTACTGCCTGGTTCATTCTCTGAAATAAAAGTTCCTTGAAGACTTGTCTTTTTTTGTTCACTATTCTAACCTAGAGTAGCATCCTCTGAAACATAAGTGATAATAAATACTTCTGAATGAATGATTATTATGAGTGAATGATTATCCTACATATAAATGATTCCAGACAGAAATTCTTCCTAGTTTTAGAACTAGTAGTCACCCTAATAAAATGGTTGAAGATTAGCTACAGCAATGGTCCCAACTGTGGTTTTATTTTTGTCAGAATCACCTAGGAAGACTTATTAAAATATAAATTCAAGGGTCCCACACTAAACTAATTGAATTACAGCATCTAGAGGTAGGATATAAAACCCTAAAATTTTTAAAGTTGACAATGATCCTTCACAGCCAGAATCGTAAAAGAGGGTCTAACAAACTATTGACCAATTGATTCTCAGGTTTGGAACATTTGGGAATCACTGGCTACAGAGAATAGAAAGTACTGCACATTGAGGTGCTTATATTGAAACACTGGAACAGATATACTCTGGTATTTCCTCCAAGTTTTTACCAAAAAAATATAATTTTCTTTTTTTTTTTTTAAAGATTTTATTTATTTATTTGAGACAGAGAGAATGAGAGACAGAGAGCATGAGAGGGAGGAGGGTCAGAGGGAGAAGCAGACTCCCTGCCGAGCAGGGAGCCAGATGCGGGACTCGATCCCGGGACTCCAGGATCATGACCTGAGCCGAACGCAGTTGCTTAACCAACTGAGCCACCCAGGTGCCCAAAAAAATGTAATTTTCAATGTGATAAAGACATTTAACTTTGAATCATTTTTATTAAAACTTTTTCTTCCAGGGGTGCCTGGGTGGCTCAGTTGTTAAGCGTCTGCCTTCGGCTTAGGTCCTGGGATCGAGCCCAGCATCAGGCTCCCTGCTCTGCAAGAAGCCTGCTTCTCCCTCTCCCATTCCTCTGCTTGTGTTCCCTCTCTGTGTCTCTCTCTGTCAAATAAATAAATAAAATCTTTTTTTAAAAAAATTTTAAAACCTTTTCTCCTGATTACAAAAGTAATTTTTTAGAAGACCAATCATTAACATTAAAGTCGTCCATAATCCCACTCCCTTCCCAGTGACAGTTAAGTTCCATGTATGCTTAATGCAGATTTGTTCTAAGCAAAAGAATATATATATCTCTACCACCTTTAATTTTTTGTTAACAGAAAGGATATCATGCTACACATACTGATCAAGTGAATTTTTTTAAGCTTCATGTGTTAGACATCAATAAATTTCTCTCATTTTTTTTTAGTAGCTACAAGAATTTCATTTATAAAATGCTACTGCTCCTGAAGGACATTTAGATTGATTTTTTTTTTAAGTATTACAAATAATGTTGCAATAAACGTTCTTATATGTTCATTTTTTCACATTTCTGCAGGTATATCTGTGGAATAAATTACTGGAGGTAGGTTTGAGTCAATGAATATTTCATTCATTCATTCATGAGAGAGAGAGAGAGAAAGGGAGAGAGGGAGAACTTGAGAGAGAAAGCATGACCAGTGAGGAGGACAAAGGGAGAGAGAGAAGCAGGCTCCCCGCTGAGCAGGGAGCTGGACATGGGGCTCCATCCCAGGACCCTGGGATCACGACCTGAGCCGAAGGCAGACACCCAACCGACTGAGCCACCCAGGTGCCCTGAGTCAATGAATATTTTAAATTCTTATACTGTTGAACTGTTTCATCCCCAAATTATACTAGTTACAGGGTACCTGGGTGGCTCAGTCAGTTAAGCCTCTCCACTCTCTTCCGCTTGTGCTCTCTTTCTCTCAAATACATAAATAAAATCTTTCTAAAAAATTATATTTGTTACATTTTCAGTATATGAGTTTCTTTTAAAATTTTCTTTTATTATGTTATGTTAGTCACCATACATTACATCATTAGTTTTTGATGCAGTGTTCCATGATTCATTGTTCGCGTAACACGCAGTGCTCCATTCAATACATGCCCTCCTTAACACCCATCACTGGGCTAACCCATCCCCCCACCCCCTCCCCTCTAGAACCGTCAGTTTGTTTCCCAGAGTCCATAGTCTCTCATGGTTCCTCTCCCCCTCCGATTTTTTCATTTTTCCCTTCCTACTATCTTTTTTTTTTTTTTACATATAATGTATTATTTGTTTCAGAGGTACAGGTCTGTGATTCATCAGTCTCACACAATTCACAGTGCCCAACATAGCAGATACCCTCCCCAATTTCCATCACCCAGCCACCCTACCCCTGCCACCCCCCACCACTCCAGCAACCCTCAGTTTGTTTCCTGAGATTAAGAGTCTCTTATTGTTTGTCTCCCTCTCTGGTTTCGTCTTGCTTCATTTTTCCCTCCCTTCCCCTATGATCCTCTGTCTTGTTTCTCAAATTCCTCTATCAGTGAGATCATATGATACTTGTCTTTCTCTGATTGACTTATTTCACTTAGCATAATACCCTCTAGTTCCATCCATGTCGTTGCAAATGGCAAGATTTTGTTTTTTGATGGCTGCATAATATTCCATTGTAGTTCTTACTTAGATTCTTGACAATACTGTGCATTATCAATCTTCTGAATAATGGCTGATCTAATTGGTGAATATGATCTTTATATTTATATATTCAGACTTAAACCAATCTTTCTCTTTATGGCTTTAGGATTTCATGTCATGCTTATAAAAGGCCACCCACCTACTACCAAAAAATTTTTCTTCTAATGCTTATTTAACAAACCTTTAAATCTTTTACTCATTTTAAAATTAAAGGGTGACAGTCTGGCAAAACTTGCTGAGAAACACAGTAATTCCAAACCAATGGACAAATATTACCTTGAAGAAAAAAAAAATCACTTTATGTATAATTGAGGTAAGTTTCTAGCATTTATGTACTCAACTGAAATATGACACAATAAAAGAACAGATGCTATATGCATCCTTTTAGACAACTCTGGCTATTATAACAGAAAGCAATTCAGATATACAATTTTCCTACTTAAAAATGAAAGTACTAGGGACTCTCTACTAGAAGAATATATACCTACATGATCTATAAATTCTTTTTTTTTTTTTTTTAAAGATTTTAGTTATTTATTAGAGAGAGAGAGAAAGCACAAGCAGCGGGAGTAGCAGGCAGAGGGAGAAACAGGCTCTTCGCTGAGCATGACCCTGGGATCATGACCTGAGCCGAAGGCAGACGCTTAACCAACTGAGCCACCCAGGCGTCCCATGATCTACAAATTCTGAGTGGAGATAAATAAAATAGTGAAAACTCATGATGCCAACTGATGTCCAAACAAGTATTTTCATAAAGGAAAGATGATCATACTCTGAGTTTACTTTTAAATCAAGACAGACTTTTTTGTCATTCTACTGCCAATTCCAAATGAGGTCCATGGGAAGCAATGGGCTTAACATTTCCACAAGCCTTTGAACATATTGGATTTCTTTGCAACATTTTAATTAATAGTACAAGTTCAATACCTGAATTTCAATATCCATCTCATGAATAAACAAACAGCAAATAGTAAAAGCTTCTACTATTAAGTAAAATGGTCAAGACTATTTAAAGCAGAAAGAATATCCAGTAGATTACTTAGGATGCTGAAGGCAGATACTCAAGCCATGGGTTCTACAGTGAATGTTAATAATTTTGTATCCTGTGACTTGAATATGGCTTTGCTCATTTGACTAAGGTATCACAATCAAGCTATTCAGTTCAACTACACAGTCTGGTTCAACCATACAATTTAAAAAAAGGAAAGAAAAACTGCACCACTGAATTATAATGAATATTTATAAGAAGACTACCAAAAGAGTGTGCATTTAATCATTATGAATAATTTTTAAGGATAGGATTTGTTCTTAAAACATTTTGTTCTTTAACAGAATAGTGCCCATGTTTATGGGGCCTAAAAAATGCAAAATAGTTACCAGCTTCATGTATAAACAATCTTCTTTTCCCCCATGTGTAAACAATTTTGCACAAAAGCTATTTACACATGGGCTTACACAAAACAAAAAAATTCATTTTCCTTTAAGGACTGAGTTTAATGTTCACATTTGTATTTCAGGTTCTCACACTAAAGAAAAGGGGAGTATAAACTTAAGAATTAAACATGTTTCCTTTCAAAACAATTCTTCAGTAATAAAAATAACAGGCTGCTTAACAAAGATATCAAATATTTGATACATATACAAAATCACTCTATACCTTTTGTCAGCAAGATCTGTTTTATTTCCTACTAGCATGATGATAACATCACTTCCTCTTTCTGTTCTGACATCATCAATCCATTTTGTAGTTTGCTGGAATGAGTTAACATCTGGTATAGGAGGGTGGACAGAGAGATTAGTGTTACTGCAAAGCTTCCCCAAGTGATAAACCAAACAACAACAACAACAACAACAACAAACAAATCCTGGAAGTTGGGGAGGGGGTGGCACATTAGGATCCACTTTTAATGTGCCTGCAACATGACTCCATTTTATCTGAGTACAACTGTCAGTGATATAAACAAATCCAAAGAATAAAGTACTCAAGGTTCCTTTTATAGTAGTTTAAAATTTTTGGACATGACCAAATGAGTGCAACGTACCATATGTAATTGGGGGGGGGACCTTTTTAAAATGCAAGGACAGCTATGACAGATAATATGGGTCACATTGCCACAATCTTTTTTTTGATTACTTACACATACCCAGCATAACAAAGAAAGCATCTCCAAAAGTAGGTCAGCCAGTAAATCCCAACACATCCAGAAAATTATAAAGCCTTTACATAGCTTTCAACACCACTTTGTTTGCATTGCTTGTTCAGTTTGTGATCACTTTAACTTGAAGTTCATTAGTTTAATGCACCAGAATCACTTGTAACAAAATCCATCTTTCCTAGCAGTGCATTCTAAGTAGAATACTTCAGTATTTTTTACAGCAGCTCCAGAAAACAGTATACTAATGTTTTAACCACATGTACACAATTTTTAAAGAAAAATACACGAGGTTTCATTTGATTTGGTTAAAGTAAGCACAAACATTTTAAAGCTGCAAAACTTGTCAATGCACAATAATGAACATACACATTTTTTAAACAAGTAGCAACCCAAAGTAAAGCTTTAAGAAAAGAAAGATTGCATATAGCACCTAACCCACCCCCCCAAAAAAGGTCTCTGAATGCAAACTTACAATTCTGCCATAGCAATTATTAAGTAGATACGACTTCTGGTTGAGCACATATGCAAAAATGTACAGTAAGAATATCACTAGCTCAAACCAATAGTTTATGTAAGATTCTCTTTAAAGTAAGTTTAAGATGTAACATTATTCTGGTTTTCCTACAAATTATGGACCACTATATGGAATGATGGCTTAATATTGCCTAATGTATATAATAAACCAATTTACAAAGACAATTTTAATCAGAGAGCATTTCCCTGTCAGTCACCATATTCTGTGGAAAATTTACAGGCACTTAAAATGCCAAAGACCTTATTTAGTCTTTAGGGAAAAGAAAAAGGAAGATCATTACTTGTTTCAATCTCCTATTTAAAATTTCTTCTTGGAGAGAAATGAAAGTAATTTGTTAGCAACAAAGTCAGTCAGTCACAGAATCCAGATGTGATTCAAATGAAAATGATTAATAGAAAACTGCACATTATATGTTTTCTCTGCCTTCCTCTATAGAGAGAGGATGGCTGGAAGTGGAAAGCAGAGAAAAGTTGGCTAGCGGAAGCTTTTAATAGCCTCAACAGAAAGCCTTGGAGGATTTGAAAATTTTGGCAAGAGGCTTAAATGCAGATTATTTTATTTTAGAGAAATCTGAGATCAAGTTAAATGAAAAAGGAGACATTCTTCCAACCATAATTACGGTGTGACTTAGGGATAACAGGATACTAAGAAAGCCTTGGAGAGGATCCATAATTAGATCTGAAGGAAAATTTCCAGGGCAAAAAAAATCTGGCACAGTGGAAATAAAGCATGTTGGTACAAGCACCAAAGCAAATATTTCTGACCTAACTGGTATATGATAAGGTTTACTATGACAAAACTCATTTTTACATGCTAGTATAGAAAACAAGCACAAGACAAGAACATGCATGCAGCTAAGCTAAAGGTTGAAAGATTAGAAATGCGTAATTCCCCCCACTCACTTGTGATATCATAAACAACAACTGCCACAGTGGAGTCACGAATGTAGCTAGGAATCAAGCTCCTGAACCGCTCTTGACCTGCTGTGTCCCATAATTGCAATCGTACCTAACAAAATCAGTCAAACAAGCAAGAAAAATAAGAAAGGTCAACCCGTTGCAAAATACCTACTTGTGATATCGTAAACTACTACGGCTGCAGCAGAATCACGGATGTAACTGGGAATGAGGCTACGGAAACGTTCCTGACCCGCAGTATCCCAAAGCTGCAGCCTGATCTGTGGGATGGGAAAAAATAAATAAAAAAAAAAAAAAACCAAACTCATACTAAAAAGAAAAAAGAAATAATGTTTTTAAAAGGGGGAAGGTGGGAAGAAGGTAAAAAGTAGACTCATGCAAAAGGTTGCAGGGATGTGAGGATTGAAAATAATACAAAATTCCTTTCCTTTTTCAAAAGGGAGTATATTAAAAATTTGCTTGCTCTGAAGGTATGTGATTTAAATATGGCAATGTGAAAGATTTCATAGAATCAGAAATATAGCTTTTTTTGTTACTCCCTATAACATCTCTTTGGATCTTATGCCTTCCGGATAGCAAAAAGTAGACTGTGTTGATGTTCAAATAGTGAGCATAAAAGGGAAAAATGAAGGTAAATGCCAATGAGCAGCCCCGGCTATCAGAGTAAAGGAATGAATGCTTCTCTGAAAACCTCTCTGAAGCTAGAATTTGTCTCTTTTTTATTGGATCTAGAACACTGTGAAATTGGGACTCTGACTACTGTGCGTATGTTTCTCCTACACGTTTCTTCCCAGAACATTGTATATAACCTAACAAAAAAGGAGAAATATCTTTTCGCAACACTACATAAAAATGTTATTTTCTTACTTTTTCATATCTATATTTGAGGAAGAAAAGCCTGAAAATAAGCATTCAGTTATCTTACCATTATAAAGCAATTTCTAAGCTTTGAAAATTTAAGAAACGACATGCTGTGTATTAAAACATAAAAGAGAACATCCAAAAGAAAAACTTACACATTTACATGAAAAATCATTAGAGATACAATAATTTTTGGGGGGTATAGGTCCTGAAATATTACATTTAATAAGACAGTCACTGTTTAGTTGATAGGAATCTCTTCCAGGGACAGTGGGCTAGAATACAGAATTTATACTATGCTTAAAGGGAGCATTCCAAAAGATAGGCATCTAAATCCAACAAATAAATACACACTACCTCTACCTAGTTACTGTCACTTTGGTATTCATTATATTCTGACAAATAAAATTTTGAAATTCACAAATTATGTGATATTCAAATGAGATATTTTTTAATGCCTCAAGAGTAGCACTCAAAAGGTCTTTAGCAGCTCTAATTTCTTTATGAAAACACACTTTTCATTATCTCAGTGCTATTTGTTATCATTTTTCCAAATCAGGGTGACAAATTTTGTTTAGCAAGCCTAGGGCATTCAGTATTTTCCAAACAACTTGGCTTTCTCTCCTCTTTGGATTTTACTTAGGGATTAAGCCAGAATGCTAAGTACTACCACTCTGTTAATAATAGTTTTTCTCAAAGCCTGTAAACTAACTTTCTCTACTTTGCTAAGAGCTTCTTATGGTGACAATCATCAATTATAGCTTTGATCATAGTTTTCTATCCTGGAGTGTTGCAGAAAATTGCACACTGAAAACATTACTCACTGTTCGATCCTCCAAGTACATTGTTTTTGATAAAAAGTCAATACCAATTGTTGCCTGTAAAACAGAATAAAACAAGGAAGTTAAAAAATAAAATAAAAATAATAATAGTTTAGGAGGTGCTTGGGTGGCTCAGTTGATTAGGCATCTGCCTTCAGCTCAGGTCCTTATCTCAAGCCCTGCATGGGGCTCCCTGCTCAGCAGGAGTCGGCCTCTCCCTCTGCTTCTCCCCCCATGCATGCGCTCTCTCAAATAAATAAATAAATAAATAAATTGAAAACATAATAATAGTTTAATGGCAGTTCAGGGTTCAAATGGTAATTATGATTGTAAGAGAAATAATGAATTAAACACAAAAACACATCATAGCCAAATACGAATGAACAAAATTTTCAGTGATAGTGGTTTCCACCTACTGAGCACGTGTGCTAAAGAATTTTTTTAGGCCTTTTACACGATCATCTCTAATCCTCATACATCTCTGCAAGGGAGCTACTGCCATTCTTATTTTTATCATTTTAACAATATTGGGGTTCAGGGATGCATGGGTGGCTCAGCTGGTTAAGCGTCTGCCTTCGGTTCAGGTCATGATCTCAGGATCCTGGGATCAAGTCCCACACAGGGCTCCTTGCTCAGTGGGGAGCTTGCTTCTCCCTCTGCCCCACCCCCACCCCCATTTGTATGCACACTCTCTCCCTCTCTCTGATAAATAAAAATCTTTAAAAACAAAAACAAAACCCCCCCAAAAAACAATAGTGGGGTTCAGAGAAGTTAAAAAACTTGTCCAGGGGAACAAAGCTTCTGCTGGAGTTGGGAGTAAAAGTCCAGCTCTTTCCAAAATATAATGATTATAATATATATTTATTATATATATTTAAGTTGTGATAAAATACACATAATAAAATTAACCATCTTAACCATTTTTTAAAATACTATTTTTTTGGGAGTAGTTTTAGGTTCATAGCGAAACTGAAAGGTGCAGAGATTTTCCATATATTCCCTTACCCCCACATAGGCATTAACACGCCCTATTGTTAACATCCCCTGCCAAAGTGGTACATTTATTACAGCTGATGAACCTACACTGACACTAATATATTTTTTTAAGATAGATTTTATTTTTGGGCGCCTGGGTGGCTCAGTTGGTTAAGCGACTGCGTTCGGCTCAGGTCATGATCCTGGAGTCCCAGGATAGAGTCCTGCATCGGGCTCCCTGCTCGGCAGGGCGTCTGCTTCTCCCTCTGACCCTCCTCCCTCTCATGCTCTCTGTCTCTCATTCTCTCTCTCTCAAATAGATAAATAAAATCTTTAAAAAAAAAAAAAAAGATTTTATTTTTAAATTGTGGTAAAACAAATATCATAAAATGTGACATTTTGGGGCACCTGGGTGGCTCAGTTGGTTAGGCAGTTGCTTTTGGCTCAGGTCATGATCCCAGGGTCCTGGGATCGAGCCCTGCATTGGGCTCCCTGCTTCATGGGAAGTCTGCTTCTCTCTCTCTCTCTCTTTCTCTACCCCTTCCCCCCGCTCATGTGCTCACTCTCTCTCTTAAATAAAATCTTTAAAAAAATAAAATGTAACCACATTAAATGTACAATTCAATGGCATTGATTATATCCACAAAGATGTATAACTGTCAACATTATTTTTAAAGCTTTTTTATAACCTCAAACAGAAACTGTACCCATTAAGCAATAACTTATCAGAATGTATGGATAGCCCACAATTTCTTTTTTCATTCATCTATTAATGGACATTTGGGTTGTTTCCACCTTTTGGCTGCTGTGCGTTCCTATACTGAATTCTTCAGTATATACTAGTAGAACTGCTAGGCCATATGATAATTCTACTTAAACTTTGTGAGGAAATGCCACACTGGCTTCCACAGTAGCTGCACGACTTTAAATTTCCTATAGCAATACATGAAGGTTCCAATTTTTCCACATTCTTGCCAGAATTTGGTATTTTCTCTTTTTATATATAATACTCATCCTAGTAGGTAGGAAGTGGAATCTTTTTGTGATTTTGATTTGCAGTTCTCTAATGACTAATAATGTTAAGCATCTTTTCATGTGCTTACTGGCCATTGTACAACCTCTCTGAATAAATGTCTATTCAAGTCCTTTGCCCATTTTTAAATTTGTCATTTTATTATTGATATGCAAGAGTTCTTTATAGATCCTAGATAGTAAACCCTTCTCGGATATGTAATTTTCAAATATTTCCTCCCATTATGTAGGTTGAGCCTGGTGTTTTTATTGAAAATCAATTGTCCGGTGCCTGGGTGGCTCAGTCTGTTGAGTGTACGACCCTTGATTTAGGCTTGGGTCACGATCTCAGGGTCCTGGGATCTAGCCCTGCATTGGGCTTCATGCTCAGTGGGGAGTCTGCATGAATTTCTCTCTCCTGTGCCCCTCCCCCACTTTGTGCACAAGGGCATGCTCGCACACTCTCTAAAATAAATAAATCTTTTTTTTTTTTTTTTTATTCATGAAAGTCAGAGAGAGAGAGAGGCAGAGGCAGAGGGAGAAGCAGGCTCCCCGCCTAGCAGGGAGCCCGATGCGGGACTCAATCCCAGAACCCTGGGATCATGACCTGAGCCGAAGGCAGACGCTTAACCATCTGAGCCACCCAGGCGCCCCTAAAATAAATAAATCTTTAAAAAATTTTTTAAAAAAGAAAATCAATTGTCAATAGATATGTGGATTTACTTATGGATTCCCTATTCTATTCCAGTGGTCTATAGGTCTATCATTGTTCTGATTACTGTAGCTTTGTAATAAATTTTGAAATCAGGAAGTGTGTGTCCTCTTTTTTTTTTTTTTTAATTATTTATTTATTTGTCAGAGAGAGAGAGAGAGTGAGCATGAGCGGGTTGGGGCGGGGGGAGAAGCAGGCTCCCCACTGAATGGGGAGCCCAATGTGAGGCTCGATCCCAGGACCCTGGGTTCATGACCTGAACCGAAGGCAGATGCAAAACCAACTGAGCCACCCAGGTGCCCTATTTTTCTTTTTCAAGACTGTTCTGGCTTTTGCAATTTAGAATCGGCTCTTTCATTTATACACAAATGGCAGTAGAAATTTGATAGGGACTGCATTAAATCAGTAGATTGCTTTCAGTAGTTAGTATCAACATCTTAACAATATTAAGTCTTCTAAGCCCTTTGCCCAGGATGTCTCTCCATTTATTTAGGTCTTCTTTAATTTTTTTTGAGCAGCGTTTTGCAGATTTCAATTATACACAGACTTTTATTAAGAAAGCAAGCAAGGGGTGCCTGGGTGGCTCAGATGGTTAAGCGTCTGCCTTTGGCTCATGTCATGATCCCAGGGTCCTGGGATCAAGACCTGCATTGGGTTCCCTGCTCAGCGGGGAGACTGCTTCTCCCTCTCCCTCTACTGCTCCCCCTGCTTGTGCTCTCTCTCTCTGTTAAATACATAAAATCTTTAAAAAAAAAAAAAAAAAAAAAAGCAAGCTAGCTTTCCCCTTTATCCTAAACTATGTGACTATATATTTCAATTACATTTCTAAATTTAGGGCTTAAATATACATAACCTAAGTACGAATTCCATCTTATGACATTCAGTCTGAAAATGTATATCCCGTTCTGCTATAGGCTGGGATAATGGGTTCATAAATGTGAATTACTGTGCAAAAGCATCTAACTGACAAACCTGAGGAATGTACAGGAATGGTATGGGCTACATTTAACAAATCTCACCCAGAGAACCTCATTTAATCAGACAATGTGGAAGAGGCAGCTAACTTTCTACACAAATATCCACCTTCCCCTTCCTTATTAAAACAATCAAACATTTATTTGAATCCATACTTTTCTCACTAAAAAGACTACATTTTCCAGCCTTCTTTGAGCTTTAAATAAATGGGGCTGAGTCAGTTGAGAGGTATACTCTTGGTTTTTTTCCTTTCCTTTTTCTTGCCTGGATGTGATACCATGGCCAGAACTCCAGGAACCATTCAATAACCATGAGGCAACCTCCATATGGAAGTCATATATTAGATTTGGTTAAACAAAGTTAGAAGTCCCAGATGACTATGGAGCTGCCATACAAACCCTGAACTACTCTACTTACAGACTTCTTTTATATGGAAAAAAAAATTCTCATGTCACTTACTAATGTTAGTGTTTGTTACTAATGTTAGTGTTTGTTATAAACAGGCCAAAATAATTTTTAATGGCTACAAACCAAAATATACCTTGTCAGACCTCACAGCCAAAACATATAAATGTTTTTAAAATTAGTGCAAAGTAAGACTTTATGATAAAATGTATAATAATTCCCTCCCTTCCACTGCACTATCCTACCTTTGGGACATCATTTATACACCAAACTCATAAAGATTAAAATTAACCTGAAAAACATAGCCTGTTTCTGCTCTTTTCAGTTAATTTTATTCCAAGCAGAACTATGGCAAAAAAGTTAATCAACCACAAGAATTAAGCCAACAGCAGGAAAAATAGAAAGAATGGATGCAAAACTAAACATTATCAGCTATTCCAGCATCTTGAATCCTACTGATGTAGAACTGATTCAAATCTTCATAAAAGACGGATGAGACGTTAGTCCTGCCTCTTGCTGTTCTATAGAAATGCAGAAGGCAATAATTGCAGGAGAAACCAAAGGTGAGAGAAAATTCTCCCACATATCTTAATTTATAGCTTCACATAATTTTAAGTGTTAATTCATTATGTTGGAAAAGTCTACTTTGTAAAAAAAATAAGAAATAAAAAAATTAAACTGAGTACTTGTACTGCGGGAGCACACAATTCAAGATTAAACAATGGCTTACCCAAATATATCAGCATCAAGATAATAATAACTACAGTTTAGATATTTGTATTTGGATGCTCTCCACTCAGAACAGTGTTTATCTGCCCCAACAGCAATTTTATAAAATACTGCAGGTGTAAATTAACTATTCTGTCTGACTTACCACTGGTTTGTCACCTGTACTGATGCCACATAAAGCCAAGAGACCCATCAACATCATGATTTTCCATAAGGGACATGAGTTTTCCTACATAAAAGTAATTAAGTA